TCACTTTGTTTGTTAGGCTGTCCTCCAAAATATATGACCGCCTTTGAAGCTTTAACAAGTGTTTCTCACTTTCTTCAGCTTTGATCTTCTCATCACTGAGCAGTTTTTGTTGCCATTTCAATTCGTTTTCCGTTTCAAGAATCTGGAATAAAAATAGAGCAACAAATACAAAACAGCATGAGAACCTACCTGACACACACCAGGCCATTCAATATTTCAGAGTCAAAATACTTGGCAGAATAAACCCTTGCTTTAGTTTGAGTACAACTAATTTAAAATTTTGGCTTTGAACGTTTCTCCTTCCACTAAGTAAAGCCTGCCAACCAGTATATTGATAAATCCTTAGTATTGTAAAGAAAAAGCATGCTAAAACACGTTTGGACTCATTGTCTGCAGTTCCTGTTTACAGATATGAGTAACACAGAAAAGTAGTTTGAGTAGGAATCACACTAAGAACTACCTAGAAATTTTCATTTCACACAGTTTTTTGAGTTGGAGTGTTGTCAGAGTGCTGTTAAATTATCTGTGGTAATTTATTATTTTTACTTAATAAATAATTTATTGTTATATTAAACTAGCATTCCTTTTACTAAACATCCAAATTTCCTGTAAAGTCAAATTTTTACAGCAAGACAATTGATAGTCAAAACCAGGCAAATTGGAAGATATTGGTAGTGAGATTCTCCTGCCACCATAGATTTGAATTAACTACAGATATTTGAAGTGATTACTCAGTATCTGAAAGAGGCCTGCCGCTCAATGTACACCACCCAATTCACTTGTCTTCACTGTGTGAAGATACACCTCATCTGAAGAGAAATACTAGTGTCAGAATTTGTTGGCTTTAGTTTCAAAACCTTGGAGCACAATTAGAAAACATACCATTTAATCAAATTAATTTTAAAAATGCCTGTTATGTCTTTTGGTAATAAAACCCATGTATTTTCTGGTTCCTCATTTATTTTTAAGTAAAGCAACCTCAGGTAACATTTTCAAATCAATTTACACATATTTTTAAATACCATTCCGTAAGACACAAGTTAAAGTACTCCAGTATTCTTCAGTCTGGGTATATAACATTAATACTTGTAAGATATTTTTCAAGACAGCTTCAAGAATTAACCATGTTCCCCTACCAAGAGTTCATAGTTATTATACTTTGATTAAAGATAAAGCACCTTATCAGCACTCTCCTGTAGTGTAATCTCCATCTTGTTCTTCTCTGCTTGAGTAACTTCCAGCTTTTCCTGGAGCTGATGTCTCTCCTGTGCTAACACATCACACTGTTTCTCCAGCTGCTGAAGTTTACTGCTTTCACTCTCCGTCTTTTCTTTCAGTTCTTCCAGCAGCTGGTGCCTTTCCTTCGTTACCAATTTTAAGACCTCATTCAACTTGACTATCTATTAAGAAACATTTTAAAAGAGTATAAAATCAGCAGAACTCTTCAAAACAAAAACTCTTTTTCTGTAGCTAAATTTTATTATTATGACAACATCTATTGAACCAGTAAAATAGCACAAGTTATCGTAAATACGTGTTATTCTAATGAGTCCTTGAAAGGATATCCCTTGAATTATTTCCAGGTTTCTTCTTACTGTACTTGCCTTTTTCTTCAGCTTGTTTATTTCTTCATTTAGTTTTTCTTCAGTGTTTCGCAATTTTTCTTCTCCATTTGCTAGCATGTTCTTCTGGATATCAGCTTGCTCCTTCTGATGCTTCAGTTCTTCCTGTAGGTTTTCCATTTCTATCAGAACTTTTGAGGACTGCAGAACAAGGTATTACATGAATGTTCACACAGTATGACTAAGTTTTGCTATCAAGAGTTAAGAATAAGTCTAAGCATTTGAATTTCTAGGAAAGAATTATCAGGATAATCAGTCTTTTACTTAAGAAAAAACCCATCTCAGTTGTCATTTCCCCCATACCTAGTTTAAGAACTCCAAAGGAAAGCAGTCTTTAGAAATACAATCTTGATCACTTAAAATAGGGGGGGGAAGCAAAAAACATGCAAAAAAAGGCCAAAAAAAGTGTACAAAAAAGCAAAAAAAGCCAAATGCAAAAAAGAAAAAAGGAGGCAGAACTAAAGACGAAAGGGAAAAATGTTGGGGGGGGGGAGAAGGGAACATGAAGGGAATAGATTATGTCATAGACTAAAAAAAAAAACCCAAATCAAAACGAAAACAAAAACAAAACCCAAGCACCTCAGCAAGAAAGAGACCCTTATTCCTGTGGCAACTGCCACCAGTTACATGAACTATTTGTTCAATTGTTTAGTAGCAAGATTGTAAATCTAGTTTGCAGATTTTAGTTTTCAAATGAGTTGGTCCATACCAAAAGAGATCAGTGGTTCTACCTGAGGTTTGCTAAAATTCATATGAAAGCTTTTATTTCTTAAAATAATTTGCAGAGCTTCTCTCGGGAAAACAAAAAATAAACAACTTACCAGACTTCCTTTTAACTTTAGGGATTATCAGCTTAATTATTTTAGCTACATATCAGAATGAATTTGTCTGAAATAATGTATCAACATAAACATGCTTTTCACACAAGCACTTGGAATATTGAAATCACTAATCTGCCAGAAAATAAGTGATCATGAAGAAGAAATAGGATAGCTAACAGTTTTTTCTCTGGGTTTAGCTTTCTCTTCATCAACCCAGAATGAGCTGAAGTGGTAGGAGAATTAAGCTGTGAGATATCAGTAAACCTGGATTACCTCTAGTGTTCAGTGCTAAATTCAAAGGCACTGTAAATGCAAGATTTAACAGCAACTTGTGAAGTGCTTCTCCAGCAGGTGGGAGACACCTGTGCCTTAACCCAGAACATCACAGGGACCAAAAGGGCAGGAATGAGGCAGGGGGAAGAAAGAGACAGATCCCAAAATCCAAACTGGATTAGTAAACTAAATTTTTAGTTTACTGCTGCTGTGAACAAGTGAAAGGAGAGGAAGAGCAACTGAATAGCAGAAGGCTCCATGACTGAAACAATTTTGAATGGTACAACCTACTTTTAAAACAATTTAAGAGATTTTATACATACTTTCTCCTTGCTTTCCTGACAGTCAGCCTCTAACCGGTCTCTTTCTGCTTTACAAGTCTCTACCATTTGCTGTAGGTCATCTTTCTCTTGATTAAGTAAAGCGATTTTCTCAAGCTGTTGACAGATCTCCTCATTCATTGCTCTTTCAATTTGTTCTTTTTCTGTCAGTAGCTTGCAACATTCAGAAGAGACGCGAGTCAGGTTTTCAGAAACCTCAGTGAGCTGAAAAGACAATAAGAATTGGTATTAATATTTCCAATAATTTCTAGAATGGCTAGAAGTAATTTGATAGTTAATTTGGAAAAAAACCCAGTAACATTCTAATTTTGTTGTCTCAGTAATCAGGTTCTGATTCAAGAGTGCTATTGGATCATATTCCACAAGCAATATCTGTACATATGGGTTGTTGTAATTGGATTATTTTGAACAACACCTCCATTATTTTACTGCTAGAGCAAGAGAAGAAACATGTAACAATTTTGCTTAAGTCTCTTCTGTCTCATTGTTAGACGAAAGCAAATGTGTAAAAACCTATAGGCCATTGTAATTCCACAAAAATTACTCCATTACTGTATCTACAGCAGATAGGATTCATTCTAGCAACCATTAACGTCCTCTAAAAGCCACAATAGCTTCAGACATGAAAACAGTAAGTAGGTAAAAAATCTATAATAGTGCAGCTAGTTAAAGAATGAGCTAAACTGCCTTTTAGTTGGTCAAGTATCTTCAGAGTTACATAGCTAAAAGACATAATATGAGAATTTAAAAAGTTTTAAGACTTGGAAAATACATTGAAGTAAAAGAGTGGCATTGATGCCAAGTAACATTCCATCATTCAGCACTACACCATGTTTAATTTTAAGTAAGGGTAGTAGCTTGCAGGTCAAATTGCATTTGATCATCTTTTCACTGCTCCTGTTTCTATGAAATTCCTTCAAGAAGCAGTACAGGGGGAAAAAAGGGGGAAAACTTAATTAAATTTTGTTACTATATGTACTGAACCCTTACAAACTGAAGTCTGCAGAGGACATGGGTTGTCAATCCCAATATAATTTTTGTTTAATAGACAATACTGCATCTGACCTTCTGCTGCAGTTCATCAGTTGTTTTCTTCCATGCCTCTTGTGCTTTCAAGAGTTGATTTTCTTTTTCCAAAATGCTTTCTTTCAGCTCCACAATAGTCTCCTGATACTGTCTGAGAGAGTCATGAGCACATCTCAGCTCTTCCTGCATCTCTGAATTCTTTGGACACAACACAGTTAAAGTACATTAAAGCCCAAACAACACTTCCAAAATTTAAGACAGAAGTTTACTAAAGCTATTAATCTAAAGGAATAGGACTGTTTTTCTTACCATGCTAACTGTCTCCAGTATAGTTTCTTTCAGCTGGTCTCTCTCCTTTTGGAGATTCTCCAGTTGCATTTTAAGATTATCATCTTCTCTTTCTGTCAAAGTACTCACTTCCTGACAGTCATGCAATTTTGGAATAAAATCTGTTCTCCCCAATTCTTCAGATTCCCTTTGACATTCATTAGCCTTCACTTCCTCCATTTCACGCAGTTTCTTTTGTGCCTGGCTCAGCTCTTCTCTCAGAAGAAATAATTCTTGCTCAATAGATTGTTCTTGAATCTGTGGTATCTGTTTTATAGCAAGACAGAAGTCAATACACTTGGGGAAGTAACTAAGAGAAACATGACTGACTTTTGACAGGTTGATTAAGTAAAACAAACAGAAGCAATGTTTTATAGAGAATAATATTTTTTACAGTATAGAAAGATTTGACAGAACTCAATATGTAATTCAAGTTTATTGAAATAAGACATGTAAAGGTAAAGTCTGAAGTGAGGACTTCTGAAAGAAGTTACCAGAAATAGAACTTCAAAGCCATAATTTAAGCCTAAGGGCAGGGGGGAACCCACAAAAACCTCCCAACAGCAAAAAAACCACAACCCCACAAACCGAACAGAGATCTATCCATATTTCTAGTCTCAGTAGTAGACAATAATGGTGCCAAGACAATTACTTCCTTGAAATTTGCCCACTCTCTCCATAAACACTAAAATATATGCACATACTTTACTTTTTTCAAAGTACAACACATACCTACATGTGAAATCATGTTCAAATGTGGAAAATGTTGACTGCAATGTCCCTTAGCACGCAATGCCAGGAAAAAGCAGTTCTATCTACGCTTCGAAAAAGTGGATCTGCCCTTTCCAAATGAGCAATTTTTAGCTTCAACTACTTACAGAACCACGTCTCTGTGCAGATCAACTCAAAACACCACCATCCTATACCAAGTTAAAATTATATTTACAGAAAAAATGTTTGTAATATCCTGCTACTAGCTGCCCACATACAGCAATATGGGTGGAATACATTTCAGGTCACAATACTAATCCCAGTGTTTAATGGTTTACAGTCAAGTAGCAAAGTATCTTTTTCTCCAGTTTGTTTTGCAAATTACTTTCACTCAGGTGAAAGTTTAAATAAGCATGCTTTCCATTACAGCCTTAGCATAATCACAGAATCACAGAATATTAGGAGTCGGAAGGGATCTCGAAAGATCATCCAGTCCAACCCCCCTGCCAGAGCAGGATCACCTAGACCAGGTCACAGAGGAACATGTCCAGGCGGGTTTTGAATGTCTCCAGAGAAGGAGACTCCACAACCTCTCTGGGCAGCCTGGTCCAGTGCTCTGTCATTGTCACAGGGAAAAAGATTTTCCTTATGTTTACATAGAATCTCCTATGCTCCAGCTTACCAAAGTTCCTTCCCCATACTCTTCTTTTTTCAAATGTAAACTGTCCAGCTTATCCTGTAATGAATTGTTCTCTTGTGTAAGGAAAAAGATTTGTTCCTTTAGCACTTGAAGCTGATCACTTTCTTTACAGTTATTATTTTCTGATTTTTCTTCAGCAAGCCGGTCTCTTTCTAACGTGATGATTCTTGTATCTTCCATTAGCTGTGATACCTATAAAAACATGTAGGAAGACGGTATTTCCATCAATTCAAAACCAAAATTAAGTCATAGAACAATGGAACAGTTTGGGTTGGAAGAGACCTTTTTAAAGGTCATCTAATCCAACCCCTCCTTGCAATGAGCAGGGACATCTTCAACTAGATCAGGTTGCTTAGAGAAAAGTTTTGTTTGATTCACTCTGCTACAGTATTTTTAACATCAAACCACTGTAAGCAAACTTGGAAAAACTTCCAGAATTGAGTCTTTGGCCTTTGTTGCCTGTTCTGTTTTAAATGCTAACTTTTTAGCGGTCTTTTCACCCAATATTGGCCAGATTTTTATTTAGAAGGAGTCTTAGAGGAAGAAGCCAAATAAGAAACACCTGTTGGATTATTTCTATACATCTATTCCAAAACCTACAAATGCTGAATTGACAATCATTGACTTAATGTGTCTGACAGCCGATATATTTCAAGAAAAACCCAGTCTCACGTGAATTCTACAGATTCTCCCTCCAGAGAAACTGTGCCACTGAAGCAAGTGTGTAACATACAATATACTCTGCACCCTTATTTATTAGTTGCAAACAGGCACAAAAACCACTGGATCAGCCTTCTGCTGTATGTTGGCAAGTAAGCTTCCATTTACAACCATGTGCTACACTTCTCATTGGGACTGAGCATTATAAACCATTACCTTCACTCATAAGAGATAAGGCAATCCTTATCTCTTCTTCCATTTGCCATCTAATGCCACCACTCAGATTAACAACCATGGGGACACACTACTTAAGCAAAGGTTTATTGGAGTGCACACTACAGCTTGAAGAAAGCTGTACAGCTTTACAGAAATAGATCAGCAACTGGTAAAGACTGGGATCAAGCAGTACTACTTTCTTGGCCACTTTCTACCAAAGTCCTAAAAATTTTTTAAGGACAAGCAGAAGAGATTACAAGCAGACTAAAATAGGCTTGTTTTCACAGTGTTGGAAAACACATTAAAAGCATTTTTATTTTGAATTATTACATAACGTTTTACCTTTATTTCAAGTTCTTTAATGTTCTTACTTAGTGCCTCTTCAACACTTAGAACCTGAGATTCTTTTTCAGAAATAATTTTCTCCAACTTCATGACAGTGTCCTGAGATTGCTTGAGAGAATTCTGTACATTTCTCACTTCTTCATGTGCCAAAATGTTCTTTGGAATAAAAGGAAGAAAATCCACAAAAGAAAATCTAAGTATTTTGCAATATTAGTAATCATTCCTTGATTAAAAAACCCGAAAACCACACAGAAACCCACTCCCCTACGTATTTTAGTATAATTTATAAGTGTTCTTACACTCTTCCCCTTAGTATGTATAGCCCTTTTCTATAAAAGCAGAATTCCTACCATTGAAACAGTGTCCTCTATATCCTGTTTGAGTTGGTCTGTCTCAGCTTGGAGAGACTCCTCCTTTTGCTTCAGGTAATCTCTTTCCTGGGTAAGAGTTTTTACTTCTTCCTGACATTCAGTAAGCTGCTGCAGAACTGATTTGATCTCTGAATCCTTGGCTTCCAGTCTCAACTTCATAATCTTTTCTTGCTCTTTTAATTGCTCCATTTCATTTAACTTCTGCTGAGTCTGAATAAAATCTTCTCTTACCTCAAGAAGTTGTTTGTGTTCTGCTGTCTTTTCTTCCAGTTCTTTAATTTTGCTAGAGAGCTTTAGTTTATAAAGGAAAAGGCCAGACAATTTTCATTGTAATGTAAAACTGCATCATGCGTACATATTCTCACAAAATATTATTATAAGATTATGTATTAGCTTAAAAAGGGTGAGAGATGCTAGCTTTCAACAAGAGAATAGGAAGTCCATAATTTCACTTTAAGTCACTACTTACATTTTTTGCCCACATTAAATAAGCATTTGCTTATGGAAACTTCCTATGGTTTCTTTTTGGCCGCAAAAGTCTTACTGAAACATAACACCACACATGAAACTGTACATTATCTTAGGAATTATCAAATTAGGAGTTACCAAATCCATAGCTGGAATATGAAAAGCCGTAGTAGTGCCAAAAGCCTAGTGAAAACTATGCATCTTTAGTTCCCTTTTCTTAACTGCTTTATTCCTTTCCAATTGTCAGTTTATGTGGTGATTCTCTTTGTTTTGAAAGATCTTTTGTTCTGAATAGACACCAGTTCCCAATAAGGAAACTCCATTTCTGTGACTAGATAAATTAGTTCATAGCAACACGTTTAAAAAAAATATTTGCATAACATAGATGACTTAAGAATGGAAAAAGAAGAATCAAAAGGTCAACTACAGAAGGAAAATACATATCCTGGTGCAGCATATGCATTTCTTAGCCTATGGTGAGAGAGACCATTGAGATGCATAATCCTGCAATGTTATACACCTGGCATAGAACAAGAACAAGTAATATCGACTCATGCTAAAGGAATTTCAATGCTAGTGTTATTTATCCCTTTAAGACTGCTTCTCCAAAAATGCTTCTGTTTTTATACTGTCAATGAATTTCTCATGTCTTATTTGTAAAAAGGAGCAAGCTGGCACTGACCTCTAATTTCACTTTATCCAAAGTTGTTTTACACTCTTGTGCTTCTTTAGATAGAATATCCATTTGGAGCTTCATTTGTTCATTGTTTTCTGATGCAGCTACATATTTTTGCTCTAGTTGTTTGTGGAGCTCTTTAAGTGCTACGTATTCCCGATCAGATGTCACATATTTAAGTTGTGCATCTGCTAGATCATCTTTTGATTTTCCAATTTCTTCAGTCATATGTTGAAGTCTAATTTCATTATCAGCTACTTCAGAAAGCAGTTTCTCTCTTTCTGATTTTAACAAGCGTATCTCCTCACATTTTTCAAGAGTCTGCCAACAGAAAAGTGATATTAATAGCATTTTCTAAATCAGTATCTGTTATAGCTGCATAATAAAAACCATGTTCATATGCAGATATAGGAAATAAAGTACAGGCAAATACACAGCACAGTACATTGAGTTTTGCTTGGCTGGGCAGGAGCTGTCTCGTAAACAATCCTTCAAAGAGAAGCAAGACAGACAAGCCCCTTCCAGAACCTTGAAACTTCTCCTCTAACTCTTCAGATGTTCTAGAAGTATTTCAGTTTTCCTACATTTGAGCTAGAACTGGACTGATACTCCTAGCTGTAACTCCTACACTGAATATTTAAATATATCAATACTTTCTTCACGATACAGTCTATAAAGTTGTTAACATCTAACTAGGTTTTGTTTATTAGTTATTGCTTATTAAGTTTATTAGTAAACCACTGGAAGGGTTTGAAACTTTTTGCAAAGTATTTGAGGATAAAGAAACCTAGAAAGTCTTTCCAAACAAACCCTTTAAGACATTTATAGCAAACTTTGTCTACTAAGCCCTGACCTGCCAAGTAAACAGAAGTTTCCTTACAGGCTTTCCAGAACTTGCAAGTTAAATCTCTCACTTCTCAAGCAGCATCATTTCTGCTAAGAGGTCTTGAATTTTTGTCTGCCCAATTAGACAAAAATTCAGTTTTAGAACAGTAAACCAGTGTCAAACTTCATTATACATACACACACGGTTATCAATGGTGACCGCGGCAAATGGTGGACTAGAAATAACTCAGGTTATTTGACTTCATATCCAATAGGTCTCCATTAATATGTTACCAGTCAAGTACAATTAAAAAAAACAATGGAAAAGTTAAATTTGTTACTTACTTCTTTCTGCTGTGTTGCAACAGTATTTTGTAGAGACTGAAATTCTGATAGCTCATTTACTTGTTTTTGTAGAAGTGCATTCTCTTTCAACGCCTCTTCTAGTTCTCCTTTTAAGTTAGCAGTCCTTTTTTCCAGCTCCACACGTGAGAGCAGATCTAAAAATTAAAAAGTTTAGAGGAGTAACAGTGTGACAGAAGAAAAGCATGCTTTAAATCAGCAGAAGATTTATAATGCATTCTGGATTTCATACCAGTATAACTTTAGAAAAATATATTTTACAGTGGCCAACAATTAAAAAATGAAGCTACTGAATTTGGTGAATCACTTGTTAGGCTAGCATCCAGTTTATTTTAAATTCTCCCTGGCAACCTTCATTAATTTGATTGTCTTTGTGTAAAAAACCAAAATGTTCCATGAGCTGCAGTTTTCCAAATAGTTCAAGAAAGTCCTGAAGCAGTTACCATGTTCCAGTAATACCAGATAATCTAATATTTTCTATTAACAGAAGCTCCAAGTATTTGAGAAAACAATAGCCAAAGTCTACCCCATCCACTCAGGATTATGGGGAAAAGGGAGGAGAGGAAAAAAGCAACACCTGAAACAGTACCTTTTGGAACTTTACCATCCATCAGTGAAGTTAGCCTTGTGTTTTCTTGAAATACAGACTGCAACTCCTTCTGCAAGTCAGCTTGCCTTTTTTTATAACTGGCTTTTCCTTCTTCTATTTGTCTTTGATAGAGCTGAACATCCTTTTGCATTTGCTTGTAATTAAGTTGAAGTTCACTCTTCAGGAAAACAAAAACAACATGCAATTCACGTACAAAGTAAAATTCTACTTGCATAACATTTACATATTACATCTGTCAGATTTCCCGTTGTCACTCTAAACAACTTTTGCCTTGTTAAATATCACAGAACAAGCCACAGTTTTACATTAGAGGTCAGGGCCATAACTGCTTCTACTATTTTGTCTTTACTCTTTGAAAGAAAGCTCCATCCACTTCTGAGTTTCAAATCTCTTATTCTCTTTTGTTCCCTGGTAAAATTAGCTTTGGAGTCTTATGTCCTAGTAACTCCCTAAAGATTGTTGATTTGCTTGCTTTCCCTCGAACTAACAACAAAGTCTTGTGGGAGAAGGCTCTATTTTCTTATCTTTCTCCTGAAGACCCATTTTCTATGAGTTCCATAATAAAAACATCACTTGGAGCATGAGTCTTTAGCTTTCTCCAAATACTCTACCACATCTTGTCTATCGATTGCCTTCTTCACTAGCCTAGGAGAAGATAAGGCCCTTAACAGTATTTTGTACAGCTATAAATGCAGTTCAACAAATACTTGCCATCTTCTCCTTCAGCTCCAAATTTTCACTTCTGAGAAAGGCAGCTTCTTTTCTGGCATCCAAGGCTATGGTTTCACTATCTGAGATGGATTTCTTCAGCTGCTGAATTTCCTCAATTAGCTTATCAGAATCTCCCTGAAAAAAGACAGATAAATATCCAAAGAAATAAGAAAATATATAGGCATAATACAGGAAATATGTTCATGAGAATGTGGTTAAAATGTAAATACAGGCTTAGGAAAAAACCTGGTAAGTTTACTTTAAAAGGAATAGTAGCAGGTTCACTTGAGACACAGGATAAAGAGCCGCATTTCCCATAGCTTTACTTTACCAAAGTACTGCTGTATGATAACATAGTAACTAGCATTTAAAGCTTTGTAAAAAAGTTTTCCTAACATCTGCAGGGAAGCATATTTAAATTATACCAAGGTTATACCTAAATTTAACCCATTTCCAATAAAACCAAAACCATCTCTCAACCTAGCAGAAAACTCAAATTTACCACTGAAAAAGATGTGTCCTTTTTTTCTGCTCCTGCTTTCTTTAATTCTTCCACACGGTTCTGTAGTATCTTTATTTTGTTATCTTTCTCTTTCAGCTGTTCCAATTTGGAGTTTATTTCTGCCTATATGTTGAAGAAAAAAAGATTGAAGATTTCCGTTCCCAGTTTGGTTTTTCAGATAAGTATTTATGAAAACCCCACATTTGCATAGTAAATGATCATGAATCTTAGACATATCCTCCAAATAGCTGGTAAGACTAAACAGAGCCCAATGATATCTAGGTCATTCTCAGCAGTAGCAGTATTTCAAGATAAAAACCAACTACTTTCATACAAGTCTCATTGCATGTAAATTCATGGACAAGGCTCACCTCAAGTTCCTCATTGTACACTTCAGCATTTGAAACTAGCTTCTTTAAGTTGGCAATTTCATGCATTAGTTGTATCTGTGGAGCAAATTGAAGCAAAATTGCAAAGGATGTTAGAAAGCACCCACACCAGTGGTTTAGTAGCCAACACTACGAAAATAAGCAAGGTCTATGTTGCCTTTTCTTTTCGATTTGTGGGCAAACCACATATACACACATATATCTATTTAAACTGCTACAAAGCAAGTTGCTACATATTCTTTCAAATGGTTAGATGAGTTTTAGCTTCCCAGTAATTAGAAAGCACTGAAGTACAATTTAATTTGCAACACCTTAAGAAGCAAGAGCAACGTGATCAAAGCAATTAATGCAGAAATTGTACAGATATGACACTTCAGATTCTAGTCATGTTAAGCTTTTTATGACATAGTGCAGCTATTTATAATTTAATCTATTCACTAACAAGAATGAAAAAGTGCCAAAATTGAGGTGAAGCAAGCCATCAACACATTCAGTGGCATCCTCTGAAAGGAGGCACAAGAAGACGACTAGATAGAAAAGCACTTATGAAACTGAAGAACTCTTTTCTTTTGGTCTTTGCTAGAAAAGCTTTATAATAAGCACTCAACTACAAGTAATTCTATATAGTCACAAGCGTAGGTAAAGAGAAAATCCAGTTTGTAATTTTAAAGGCAGTAAAAGGCTTTAAAACAAGCACTCTCCTGTGATATTTTCTATATAGGTTAGGAGTATATTGAGAAGAAAACCCAATCTGTAATCATAAAATCAGCAGATGGTTGTAGAAGATACAGTACAATACTACTGTCATTCAGAATAATAGCATATACCTGTATATATCTGTGGTGATTTAAATAAATAGTTTTTGACTAATGTATTTAGTGAAATATGTGACCTTTCAGTATTGCTGTAATTAATCTGCTACATGGGTATCAACGAATGGTTACATTTTACAGACTGTCTTCAGACACATCTGAGAACATGAATGATTGAAAAAGCAATTTTGTAATAGGAGGCGTTTTAGAACATTGCATCTGTTATTAGATACAAAAAAGCTTTGCAGGGAAAACTGTAACTGAGGATTTATTAAATGCTGGCCGATAAGGAAGATAGGACAATTAGCCTAACATATAAAGGGACTTCTAAAAAAATTAAATACAAGCTAATTCATAATATATTATTGATCCATTTAAAAAAATATTAATATATCTTTGTAAGGAGCACAATGGAAATGAGAGATGATCTTGTTAAATTGTAACTTGAAACAACAGTGCAACAGGATATAACTACAGCTTCAACTGTAGTTTCATGGTCAGAGCATATTAAACAGACCAATGCATACAAGTAATCTGCAGAAAAGGTATCAGGAAAGAAGTGGAGTAATACATCCATGTCTCAATACGTTTAACTAGACTTCAGTATGCAAATCTCTGAATTTTACACTCTGAGTAAATCCAGCTTAAATCCTGGGTTAATTCATTCTGTTGTTGCTGGACGTATCTTATAACATCAACTGTTTGTCAATCAACATTGAATTATATGTACACTGAATAAACTCTAGAAAACATTTGAGCATAGAAAATTCTTATCTTACCTCATGATCTTTTTGTGTTTGTTTTTCGAGTGCTTCAAATTCATCTATTTCTATTTTTTCCTTCAGTTTCTCCTTAATTTCATTTATTTCTAGTTTTAACTGCTTATTTTCCAATACTACGTTATCAAAGTTAGCTTGCAGGTTGTTGAACTCTTTTACAGCAATATCCTGAAGAAGAAACACAAAGAACTTTAGAAGTTGTTGTTAGAATGTCAGTCTTATTTTTAGAAAATGCAGAACAGACTTACCTTTTCTAGTACTAACTGTTCACAGAGTTCCACAGTCTCTTTAAAGTCATTCTGAGTCTAGAAAAATAATTGCTCTCAGTTAACTGATTTATAAGATCAAGCAAGCTTAGTATTATATTCATTGTTGCTTCTCTTTTCATTGCTAGCCCTGCTTAAACACCAAAGCTTATGGATTACTCACCACAAAACCAGTAGAATTATAGAACAGTCCCACAGTTTCACAGAGGTGACCAAGAGACTTACTTTCTAACTAGCTATAATTTTTCAGACACACAGAAGAATACTGGGGTTCCACAGAAGGGTAAGGCTGATCTTACCAAGTAGCATGCAATGTATATGCACTGTATTAGATGGCCAAAACAGATTATTATGTTACCCAATTCATGTCGGGTCCAGCAGTCCATGTTTCCGAAATTTCATCAGGACCCATCAGACATTGGTTGTCATGTACAGAACTCTCCAACATAGCTGATGTATTAAAAGAAGAAAGATGTATTAAAAATACAGAGTAGCTGTAGATTTTAAGCTGTATATCAAGAATTATTTTCTTATCTAAGAACTTTATCACATTGGAAACAATCATTCAATGCCAAAGATGTAGCACATTGAGTTCTTCTGAATCTCATCATTTTCTCTTGTGAAAGCGAACAACACTGAAGTCCAGTCTCTATACTTATGCTGACCACCTTACCACAAGTTAGTGACAAGCTAAACCAAATTGAGAATACATACTTAATTACAGACTAGGAAAGGCATTTAAGCATTAAGAAAAGAACCACTCAACACTATCCTGTGTACCCCTCACATACAGAAAAAAACCCCAACAACTCACAAGCAAAAAAGCTTGACAGAAGGATAGGTAATAAAGCTGTAAGAAAGTACAATTCAGCAACAATACTGCCCAATTATTCTTATCTTCAGTTCATCTTTCTTTGTCCCTTCCTCCTAAAGTCCTTGAATTTCTCTGTATCTCAGTCTGATCTTTGAGTAATGACTTCTCAGTTCTTATTGAAGATTTTGAAATTTCACACTCTCCTTCTTTCTTTCTCTTCCTCCACCCTGCCCTCCCTTTTGAGGGGAAAACACGGTTTGGATAGATAATCTCTGTTAAAGGAATAACTCTGGCTACTTTTACAAAAAAGCCTGAGGGGCTGAGGTGGGCTGTATGGCAGAAGTATTTGTAGACTCTGCCTTTTACCTCATTAACTCTTACCTTTGGTTTTAAGAAATTAAGAGCTTAATATCCAGAAAAGGAAAAAAAAAATAATTTTAAAGTGTGTACAGGGATTTTTTTTTTAAATTTGTTCTATCAAAGAGTCAAGTTATTCCCTTTAGAAAACTAAGTAATGCTTGCAAAGTTATCCAACAGGAATTTGCTACAGATTATTTCTCCTAGGATAGAAAGACTCATGCTCCCACTTCTTAAATTAAATCAAGCTTATTTCCAGCACAAGAACTACCAGTGTTCTTGTGCTAAAACCACTTCCCTTCCAGGCAGCATTCTTTGCTGCCAGAAAAATGTAATTTCCTTATTGCCTACAGTTAACTTTCAAAACTGGGTTCACCAAACATAGTTTGAATAGTATAGAGCCAAGTAAATGTAGCTTTTGTATTGTCAGCAAATTAACTTGGTTTTCAACTTACATTTATTAAAAAGGGATTATTTCTCATTTCAAAGTTGTCTTGTAGAGCTTTTAAAAATTTATTTCCTGAAGATACTTACAATCCTCTATGTCTGGTAGTGCTGACAGAGACCATTTCTTTTTTTTTGCTTCAAGCAGCCTTGGTTTTTCTAAGTCTTCAAAATAGCTCACATCTGCCTCATTTATTTTACCAGGAGCCCAAGTAACTCTTCTTTTTCTCTTGGCCTTTAAAAAAGTATTTACAGAAAACATGATACAACCAAATCACTAAGTAAAGAGTAGATGTTGCATTAGGCTAGTTCTATAACAGTACCAAAAGCTAACTAGACAGAGCTTTGAAGTTTCTTCAAAATTAAACTACACCATAACAGTTTGAAAGCAAAATGATCTGCAGCCTGTTCACAGCAAGGCACCAATGAATCAGTACTCACTCTGAAGTTACTTTAAAATAAATTTCCCCTTTAAAAGTAAGAAAATTGTGTGAAAATTGCCTATCAAACTTGTTCTTCATTGTCAATAAAATCCTATGTATTTAATATTATCTTTTGCAAAGTGTTTCAGAGTTAACAAATAGGATCTAGAACGGATACTTACTGCAGTTTTCTGTTTTGAGGAAAAAGAGGCAGAAGTCACCAGCATCTCTGTTAAGTTCCGTATCCTATCTTCCTGTACTTTCTGAAGCGAATTTTTTTCTTCCAACAGCTGGGCCAATTGGTCTTTCTCCATGGCGTGAATTTGAGTCTTTGAAGACACCTTGCATAAAAAGAATATTAATCAAACTGACATTTTAAGAGCACAAACTATTCCTACAGAAGATACACAAATACTAATATTTAAGAACAACTATACACATGTATATTCTTTTGAGTCTGGAAAATCTGCCTTTAGTCTTTAAGAATGAAACTGACCATTCCGTCTACAATTTACCTGTAGACTTAGTATTTAAAAAAAACCTCACGGGTCAAAAACTCACAAAATCAGCACAGCATTAGATTTTTTGGGGTGGGGGGGAGGGTGGGAGGGGGACGACAACGGACGACACCAAACAAAAAAACATAAACAAACAAAACATAAAACAAAAAAAACCCCACGACATTCTTTCAAGCATAACATAGTTTAAGTTGACCTTCCGGTGGTGCTGGAAGCCCAAAGCTCATTGAGCACTGTGATTTACTTGTCAAATAACAGCAAGCTACTCTAATGCATGCGTTATCTTAAAATTTAAGTACTGAAAATTTACTCTGTTGTAGAGCAACAACATTACAGTAGCTTGTTTTTTTGGCAACTTTATCATAAGCTTACAACATCTTTGAGTAATTTAAAGTTCACATGGGATTTTCCAACAAACTCTTCTGTATTTAATTATTTTCCTCACTACCTACTGTCTCAGAAGATAGCAAACATATGTCCAAGGTGCAAGTTTATACTGCAAATTAATTTTCTTTAAAACTAAGAGGTCAGTTATTTTTTCTTAAACTTTTCCTATGACTTTTTATTAAAAAACAAAAAGCCTGTTTTGACAATTTTCTTTACCAAAACAGTATGGTTCAAAATTGTGATTTTCCTGTGCTTTGTCTTTTATGACTTATGCTCTAGCAAGGCTTGGAAGTCTGTTCCTCAGCTTCATAGATTTTTGGAGAAAGATGAACGCATGAAAGACTACACTGTTTGATGGGAAGTTACCATTGTTCATTTTCTAAATGTATGTTCTGCCTACATGTGATTTAAGTTTTGCCACTGATCTTATGCAGTTGCAACATCTTGGAACTCAAACTGAAGACAAACATCAATAAGGGGGGGAGGGAATCTGAATTGAGTTGGACTCTCATTACAATATAAGTTACTTCTTATGTCAGTAAATTATTTTTTTTGATCTGTGGCAATACTAAAGTGTGCTATAAGACATGACAAATTTATATTTCTCATATACGTTAAACTACAGAAAGCAATTCAGTGGACCTAACTGAGTGTTACCTTTCACACAAATACGTTGATTATCATCAGCTTTTCTAAACTTGACATCACCTTTTCAATTTCTATTCTTTCAACAGAAATGGCAGATATCACTTGAAACAGTTTACCTTCCCCTCCCAATTTAACTGGTTTTGGTTTAAAACAATGTTTCCAAGTAGCTATCAGTACTAAGGATAGGCTATCTTCAGTAAGTTTATTACATACCTCTTCCAGCTGCTTTTTCAAATCCAGAATTTCTTTGCGATACCTCTTCAGAAGGGCATCATCATCAAGTACTTCATTGACTTTTGGAGTATTCCTCATTCTTTTGGCTGTATTGGCAAACTGAAACAATATTCTCTCGTGGGCAATACAGAACAAACATATCAAAGGACTTACTCCGTCTCATATTTCCCAATAGACAGTTCATTAGATAAAGAGTAACATATAAAAAAAGGACAAAAATAGTTACATTTGCTTATTTTTCATGTATTCTAAGTTTTGAAAAGGTAAGCTTCCTTTCTTTGTTATTAATAAACTAAAGAATGAAGCCTAACATTCAAGCAAAAAGAGCAAGTTCTTTTTAATTTATTAAAAAGCTCATTAGACCACCAAAAATGAAGACAATCCTACCTAAAAGATACAGTTCACAAATAGTTCTATTACCCTCCTTTCCTGTAGGACCTGTCTAATAGCCTGCATTAGCAAAGACTTAGTCTTTAGTCTTCTAACTGCATTTGGGAAAACGCAAGTGAAAAAACTACTGCCTGCAAGGTGAGAGAAGGAGCTTTGTTCCAACTGCAGGAAAGCTCAAGACAACCTAGTACAAGATGACTGGAAAAAGATGCTGTTTACAAAAGAAATATTTCAAGTTCCAAGTCCTCAGAAGACCTTTTGAAGATTCAAGTGACTACAGATCCAGCAGGTTGCATTTTCCACCCCTCCAACCTGTCTACAATGAAGCCTTGAGTCAGAATAATGCTTGAAAATGGGCAAGAAGCTTTACCTGAAGAGTACTGAGCGTTTCATCAAAAGAAACAGGAGTAACTGTACAAATAATAACTGTCTTAGCATTTCCTCCAAGGGAGTTCTGCAGAATTCGAGTCAGCTTGCTGTCTCTGTAATTTACAAAGCTGATGAAAAAGAGGAAAGAAAAAAATATAAGAAAGAATTCATACTTTTGCATACGAAAAATCCCAGTAAATATCTTTTCTAGAGATTTTTTAAACAGTTACCTACATAAAATAGGATTATATATAAAGGATTTTAATTTCTCAGTTTATTAGCAACTTCTCTTAAAACAAGTACACAAACACAAGTGCTTACCCAGAGGAGTCATCACAAAGTTTTTTGATAACTTGACCCAGAATGAACAAGCTCCGGTTTATATTGCATCCTTCTTTCAGTCGGACACCTAGGTATTGCACAGTATTTTTTTAGTTTTTGTTTGTTTGTTTGTTTATGTAAAACATTAAGATATATTTTCAACCTGGCAAGCTTTTATGCTATGTTACACTCAGAGGGATTATCTGCGCCAATCTATCACAAATAAACATTAATAATCTTTACATACTAAGTAGCTGGGCCTATAAGAACTTTATTTTTGTTTCCTCTTTATATTTTGCAAATGCCCATATTTACACGTGTAAGTATACCAAGCCAGCCTTAGATACAACTTTTCAGTTAGTTATTCCTTGTAAGAGAGAATATTAAATTGTGTTCCTCTCAGATCACTTTTTTTATGATTAAGAAATGATTAAGGCATTTTTGTGCAACTTCATGCTGCCATTGTTAACAATCAAGCTTCCACTTAGTTAAAAAGTGAGCCGTCTATTCACTCCTCACCTTTACATATGAGTGCCTAGAAGCTTCTAATGATTTCTTTACTACAGGTGAATCTTTACCGATTCAGCTCCATTCTACTAGTTCAGTGCATGACAGCTGCTGGACCTGCTATTCTAGAAAAGCCATATTACTATCTAATTGTTCGCACTTTACAGCATTTTCAGTATTTTATCAAATAGACCCTGCTCTACCAAGGTGAAAACAGATTATTTATAAACAGTAAGTAATGCAATAATAAATAAAATAATTTCTATCATAGTCTTTCCTAAAAGTTAGTTAACAAAAGTAGTCACCAGAAGAGTCTCATTCAACACTCACCTTCAGATCCTGTTTGACTAGCTCTTTCACTGCCTGCCAGATCTACCAAGTTCTGCAAATTCATTAAATATGTCACAGGTTAGTTCTAAGACAATTTAGGTTTAGATCCTCTTAATTCTAGACCTCTGCTAAGAATTTCGTAACCTAAAGTTACACTTTGAAAAAAGCAAGAGGTCTGTCATTACTGGAAGTAATTCATAGCTACTACACACATACTATTCAATACTTTCAAGGTACATAAGGACATGGAATAAGTTTGTATGAACTCAATTAATACCACTCTGAACAGTATTTCAAACTTGCGGTGCAATTTCCCCTACTCTCAGTAACAAAAATATAGTTTATCATTACAGAAGTGTTAACTACAGATTCAAGCTGTAGGAAACTTAATAGAATCACAGATTATCTGGTCCAATCTTTCATGGGAAAGA